CACTTAGACTTTAAAAACCTTTCAATTGGAGATGGGAGGGGGATGGTTAATGGTCTTTCCAGGTTAGCCGTTTCTTCAAACACTTTTATTGAAGGTGGCTGCTAAGTGGAGTTTTACTCTGATGTCATCTGACTGGATTAATCAGATTTGTGCTTAAGAATTTTTTTTTTTTTTTTTTTTTTCATACAGAGTCTTGTTCTTGTTGCTCAGGCTGGAATGCAGTGGCACGATCTTGACTCACTGCAGCCTTTGCGTCCTGGATTCAAGCAAGCATGTTGGCTAATTTTCGTATTTTTTTTAGTAGAGACAGGGTTTTGCCATGTTGGCCAGGCTGGTCTCAAACTCCTGATCTCAAGTGATCTGCCCTCCTCGGCCTCCCAAAGTGCTGGGATCACAGGCATGAGCCAGCACGACCGGCAAGAGATCTTGTGATGGTTTGGGTTTGGAAATGATAGAATCAAATAGAAAGAAAAGATTGTATACTCAAAGAAATAGAGTCTGCTTTGATGTCTTCCTGCTAGCTTAACACGGGGTATTACGTGGCGCTGCTCTGACCCTGCTTTTAGGGTCGCCACTGGAAGAGTTTTTCATAGAACGTGTATACAGTGAAATGACTTAAGATATTTCTTTTAAGAAGTGGCATTGCTGGAGTATTCGTATTTAGGGTTCTCCAGAGAAACAGAACTATTAGGAGATAGAGAGATAGAGATTTATTATAAGGAGTTGACTCACATGATTAAGAAAGCTGGTGAGTTTAAAATCTGCAGTATGGGCTAGCCGGCTGGAGACCCAGGAGAGTCGATGATGCAAATGAAATCTGCAGGGGCAGTCTGCTGGAGAAGTTTCCTCTTGGAGAGGAGGCCAGTCTTTGTGTTCTATTTAACTGATCAGGTGAGACCTGCCCTCATTATGGAGGGCAGTCTGCTTTACCGAAAGTTCACAAATTTAAATGTTAATCTCATCTAAAAAACCCTCCAAGTTGACACATAAAATTAACCATTACAGCCAGGTTTATTTGGAATTCTGTGATACGTGGTTGGGTCTTTTTATCCTTTTTTTTCAATGGTCTGTTTTGTATATAACCATTTAGTTAGACCAGCTCACAGAATATAACCGGGACTTCAGCTGGCTGTGCTCCTGTCAGAACCCATATTTGATCGATTTACTATGTATTCTTTGCTGTGTGTATGGGTGAGCGGGTCTGTAAAATGCTGATATGTGTTCTTTATCCACTCCCTACCCCCTATTTTCTCCTAAATTCCTTAAAAAATTGATTAAGGAACTAAGACGTTGTTGCGAAGATGCTATTTTATGGGATATATCATTCTCTAGGGTAGACTCTGCTAAGCAGTTGTACAGCAGTGGTCTGTTGTGAAGGGTAAACACGTGGCCTTTCTCCTCTAGAAAGCCTCGCTGCCGTTGTTTGTGTAGGCCTGGGCCTCAGTGGCTAGTGCAGCCTCACAGTAATGCATGCTGACGTGAGTCCCGGTCAGGGAAAAATGTCTTTTGAGCAAGAGACAAACTGGACAGAATGCTAGCAAGCTAAATATAACTCTTCAGAGAGCCAGACATGCATAAACTAGTTCTTAGTGAGCAACACATCCGATTCAGAGTGGAAACATTTTCTAAAAGAATTTTTTTCCTTCTTGGCTTACTGTAATGAGTATAAACCCAAATTAATTTAATTTTTCGTGGAAAGCTAAGACAACCATTGATTTTTCTCTCTCAGCATCTCTGCAGTTATATGTTAGTAGCCATTGTTAATGTTGGAAGCCTCCTGTCTCCCATTGCCCCAGCATTCTGTTCATGAGTCAACAGGCCTGCTCTGCTATTCTGATGAGTTTTGCTCCCACAAGGGAAGAGGACAGGGAGTTTGCATGTTCAGACCTTGATGAATCTGGTAGTTCAGTTTTTCATGGGCCCTCACTCTGCTTCAGGATGCTCACACCAGTGTGTGAAAACTCTTAGAAAAACCCATCAAAATGAGCCAGCCTCTATGGAATTAGGAAATTTGTGGGCTAAGACTAACATTACCTCAACATCTGTTATGGCTTAAATGTATCGTTTTAATAATATTTTATGTTATTCTTTTTGCCTGAAGCTGTAGAAGCATTTTATAGCCAGCAACTCTTCAGAATAGTAAAGGAAAGCAGGCATCATCCTCATGCTTAACAATAGAGCTGTGTTTCTGTGCACCAACCCCAGATGCTGGGTCTGGCCCCCCCAGAATGAGTGCCTTCGTAGGGCATCCCAAATGGGGCGGTGCATAGCGTCACTCTGGAGGCTGGGGAAAGTGCAGATCCAGACCTTTCCCAGCCTGTTGAGTTAGAATTGGGGGGCTGTGCTCTAGGGCATGAGGAAGTGGGTTGGGAAATGGTATTTTAAACAAGTGAAGTGATTGTCATATAACTTGTCTGGCATCAGATCCCCAGACTCTGGCAGAGTTTCCGGAAGGTCTCTCAAAACTGAAATAAGAAACTGCAGTTGTTGTCCACAGCTGCTAAAATTGTTCCAAATTAGGAAAGGGAAGGGGAAATAGAACACAGTAGTTCCAGAGAAGAATCTGAGGAGCCGTGTGAGCTAGGAAGGCCATTGTGAACAGAAGCGAGTCAGTATTTCCTCTCCTGCCTTATCACTCCCATCTGCCAGCTCCCTCCTTTTTTTTTTTTTTTTCTGAGCATGTAAAATATGTTTTATTGTTCTTTAAAAGGGTTCAGGGTTTGGTTTTAAATCAGGTTGCACACCTTTCAAATCTGACATCTCTCTATGTCAGACTGGTTTCAGCTAGCAGTACTTCATTAAATCCAAAAGAAAATAATTGCTTTAATTTTAAGGAAAAAAATGCAGTTTTGAGAACAGTTAACATTAGTCTTTAATTTAAAACAAAATGAGGGCTAATGTGTCATGTTGCTTTATACATCCTTCTCCTCAATACAGAACCAGGGATGTAATTTTCCTAACTCGGGCAGGGACTGATACTGATGGACGCTGCGTGCGTGTCCATGTGCGAACACGCACACCCCCTCCCCTCAAACAACAAAATTCAGAGTATGTCAAAGGGAAAAGGTTTGTTACGGTATTGATCAAAACCCTTGGAGTCAACACTGTCTATGTTAGCTTAGCACGTATGCTGTTTTGATCTTGAGTCTATATTAATGGAATCTATTGTTATGTTCTGAAATAAAGAATTTTGGATATACCATTATTTTTTACTTTAAAGTCCTAGAAACAATTTCAAAAAGCATTATTTGGTTTTGTTTTCTGGGATGGGAGAAGCAGGAATCTGCAGATTTGCATTCAGTTAAAAATCAAAACTCCAACAACAGGAAATAGGTAGTTCACATAGCCGGCCAACGTTTGAGGTATCATCAGTGTGAAACAAGGTCCTGGTCTGTTCCTACTGGCCTAGCTGACGCTCACAAAATGGGAGGCTTATGGCTCTGCACAGCAAATTCCAGCAGGATAAGATGACTTTAAGCCTGTATTCAAAGCCTTAGAAGCAGGGCACTACTGAGAATGTAGTATTTAGAGGTAAAAATAGTGCAAGAGCCCCTGATGGTGCCCCTCTACCTGCTTTGTCCATGCAGCCTGATCGTAACTGCCTTCCACAAAGGAACAGAAAAACAGCTTTTCTAGATCAGTACACTAAACCCAGCAAAGAATCTGCAAAAATGCTACTACACTGCTTTACAAGCAACACAGTCTCTTCGCTACTCGTTGGGTTGTCTGATGTCTCTCTTCTACCCTGTTACAGCCTGTGGACACATACTCACTAGGCATCATTGTTGGTTTTAAACCACGGATTTTTTTTTTAACCTCAAAAGAACGTAGTAATAACACGGCAATCAGTGGTTAAACTGAACTTTACATATACGGGGCAGTTTGGAAAACATACCACAAGCATTTCTCAAGTTGAAAATATGTGAATTTGCTGCTGCTCCTTTGACCGTTTCTGAAAATTCACAGTACAGATCCTAAAATAAAAATTTTAAGCTACCAGCATTCTCTGATACTAGACAGAAAATCAGAGTAACGCTGCAGCCCACAATTCTACAGGGTGTAGAAAGTACGCCCACTGCCTGGATATCTTTATTGATGGCCTGGAGTCCTCCCTTTTAGAAGACAAGTTTCTGGGATATCCATTTAGCTTTCACTGGTTAGGGAAGAGAAGAATTCAACTCCCAGCTAACTTCTTTGAGAAGAGATTCCTCTTAAAATGCCATTTCCCCACTAATTTATCAAAATAAAAACAAAACAAAAGGCTCTTGGCTACTTTGCCTAGTATTAGATAGGGTTTTGAGGGAAAGAAGCTAACATGAACACCCTTTCATCAGTAAAGACTAAAAACCACCTGGATCATGTAATACATCTATGTCACTGCTTTTTTTTTTTTGGTGGTTTTTAAAATTTATTTAAAAGTGCCCAGGTGGGCTTAAGGCTGCCAGACTGCACGCACGTCTACAGCAGCAAGGGCTTCTATTCCATCTACAACTTAGATCGGGGGAAAAAGGGAGATGTAGGAGAGGAAGGGAAAAAGAGGGGAAAAATATACCACCACCCCTCCCCCCCCAAAAAAGGGAAAAAAATCCCACCACAGGGAGATCTATGTGCCAAGCATAATGAAGAGTGTGCTCCCCAAACAGATGGTTCTGCACAGGCTAATGTTCTGCTGGTTTTCCTTAGAGACCTATTTTGAAAAAGTTTAAAAAGACAGGAGATTTCAAAATAATTCAATCCTGGCAGAAATTCAAACTCCAAAACTAGGAGCAAAATCATCCTTCACTGAATTCCTTTTCTCTTTCTCTTTTCTTAAACATTTTATTCATTTTATAGAGATTTCTTTTTTGTTTGCTTTTGTTCCAATCATGAGGAGAGTGGCTGAGGAGTACTGAATCCATCACTACTTTGATGACACAGGTAAGATTCCAGATTCACATTTCCAGGTACCAAGAGTTCCCTCTAAATGCCACAATCAAGTCAGCCTTCATTTACGTTTCTTTCTATTGAACACAGCAATGCCCATTGGTATCTCTGAAGCGTAATCGCATCTTAGGTCAGTATTTCTCCCAAGTAAAGCAGCTGTTTGGAATTGAATGCTCCCCTTTTGTCTTATAAACTGAACTGCGTCTTCGTACTTCATTCCACATTCAATCAAAGCTAAGTGCAACCAGCACAGATGCCCTTCCCAGTCCCACAGCAGAAGGCACTGCAACATAGCAGCCTGGCTCTTCATGAAATTTGGTTTGTAACAGGTTTAACCAATCATCTGCTATCTGATTAGGGGGTGGAGCTCCATCATCAAATGGCCAATCAAGAACATGGATTCCTTCTTTTTCAACTGGAGCTTTATCATATGTAGCATCACAAACTCGAACCAAAGTCATCACTCCATACTTCTTAAGTTCCTCTGGGAACTTGTTGAGAGTAGCATTGGTTGGGTTGTGAGTTATAAGAAAACGCATGTTCTCACAGGAGTTCTCGACAGGGGCTGGACGGTTCATTATGGCAAATAAAAAATGTGGGGATGCGTGTGAGTGTGATGGGGAAAGTGAAAAAAAAAAAATCAATAAATCTTGAAATGTTTCACAGCAGAAAACTTTGAAAAGACCCCTAAAATGCCTATTATCAGTGTTTTCTCTATTCAACTTGTTTATTCCTTATGAAGCTTCTGTCTTCAAGATAAGCAAAGTATTTAGAATCCACTTGAATCCAAATTCAACTTGGGCCTCAATTTCTGCAGATGGATACCTTCAGACTCCAAAAAAATCCAACTACATACAAACTTAAGCAGCCTTTACTACATTTAGGCACTAGTGAGACAAGTTAAAAGTGTAGATCGCTTTCCACTTGTTTACTTGATGCTCAGTTTTACTAGAGTCATTAAAATAAATATACTTGCAATTAAAAAACAAAACAAAACAAAAAGCCAACTATTTCTGAGGCCAGTCTCCGTGTCCAGGAGTCTTCAAGGCAACGTTAATTATGGCACATAGAACCTCTAAGCTCGTCAGCGAAGACGCTGTGCTGAGCCTGGCAGAAAAGTCTGCGCTCACACTCAGGATCGCCGTAAATGTGCGACGTATATTCCAACGAAAACCGCTGGCGAGCTGGGGACGGGCATGGCCGTCTGGCGGTGGCGGGAGCGAGGAGGCGCCTCTCTCCTCAGTCACCTCAGCGGCGGCGGTGGCGGCGACACCCCAGCCTCGGCGCGCCACACCCAGCCCGGTGGCGGTGCCGCGTCTCCACGAGTCTGTCTTGCTGCCCGCGTTGCCCCCGCTGCCCTGCGGCGTCGCCTCGCGGGGGCCCGGGCCTCGTTGCCCCTCCAGCCGCTCCCCTGCGGGCAACGGTTACAGCCCGGCCGATCGCGCCGCCGTCACCAGCTCTGCGCGCGCAGCGGAAAACAGCTCCCGCCCCCTCTTCTCTCAACTTAGTTCCACATCTTCCCTGGAAGGAAGACGCGGCTGTGTTGAAGATGACGGTGCCAGCTGCACATCATGTCAGAGGCTTTTTTTAGGTCACTTCCCTTGCAAACTCATCCAAGATGGGGTTTCCTCAAACAATGGGATCTCGTTTTAGGCTTCAGGGTCTGATTCATGTTTTCCTTTTCCTACAGATCCTCTTCACGCTTTGTTTGTTGCTTGCTTTTTTAGTTCTGGATAGATTTTAGTATTGTATTTCTTCTTCTAAGATCATAAAATAAAGCAAGAAGTAGGTAGTAAGAGGCAAAACTCCCAGCTTCTGGTTTTTACTTTGTACTTGTAGCCACTGACCTCGCTAGCATCCGATCCCCTGTCTGGGACAGGAGTGTAGTCATCCTTCCGTTGATGGCTGCTGGGAAGCTGAATCGGTGTTGAGAAGGTGCTGTGAGACACAGCATAGAATGTGAGCCCCGGCAATACTCAGGAGAGTGTACAGCTCGTTCAAGTCCCAGCAGCACTGTGGGTGGCTCCCTCCTGCTTTGCTGATTATCAAAATGTTGGTAGGAGAAAGCATGGTGTCTACTTTGTTCTTTTCTCTACATTAGACATCAGTCCTACAAGCCGGTTGACAGGCCTGTTCAGAAAAAGCACCCCAATGGGTTCATTTTCTTCTTCAGCAGAATAGTCAACTGATCAACAGGAAGCAGCGCACCTTCACACTTGCTCTGTGTCAAAATCATGCTCTGTGAAATGAAAGGTCCTTCTCTCTCTGCACACTGCTGATTGGATGGCTCCTCATGTGAAAATTTGTACTCTGTATAGCTGGTAGGTTTTCCTATGACATCCCTTCCCTGTCCCACCCTTGTCTTCCCAGGAAAAGCATATATTTTCCTTGTGGACAGCTGTCCATAAAGGTGGAAATGCTAGTAATACTTGAGCCTACTTAACCAGATGACAGTGAAACTTAGAAATTGATCCCAAGGTCCTCTGGCTCTCTACCCTGCATTTGCTTTGCTGAGGCTCTCTAAACAAATGAGGAAAAGGCTGTTGTTCAGAGGTAGTGACTCATATGCAGATGGATGGCCACAGCCACAGTGCGCCCCATCCCTGCCATCTCTCTCTGTTGTCCTCTGTCTGGCCCATGCCGCAGTGCCTTGCAGATTTGTTTGTATGCATGACTTTGTCATCTGTTGCTGAGAGCTGAGAGGAAAATCTCCTGACTGGTAAGTGCCTGTGCTGTTTATCTCAGGGCAACCCACGTTTCTACACGCTTCAAAGCAGGCTTCAGAACTGGGTTACTTTTTATACAGAAGTGCGTGTTGCCTGAGCCTCTATTAGTGTGGTTCAAACATGAGCACACAGATATGGGAAGGATTTTGCTGTGTAGGTCTGAGGACTGTGAGATGGAGATGATTCAGGAAGTCTATGACAGAGCTAGGATAGCAAAGTCAGTTTCTTGCTCAGGTCTTCCTATGTAGAAAACTGTGCTAGATACCACTGTGCATGGCAAGGGGCATGAATCTGGAAGTAAAACTGTCTTCCGTTTAAACTCTGAATCCTAATTTTGTCTCGTCTCCAAATCCCACTGATTATTAGCTGTTCAACACCTAGTTCTGGCCTTGAGGATATCAGTAACTTCTCCCTCTCTGTTTATCATTGTGACAGATAAACTGGCACTGATGCATTGTAGGATAGCTTTGCCTTTGGACCATCTTAGTGTCACTTAGCATTTGAGAAATAAGTGGCTAGATTATAGAGAAGGAATTCTCTAACTTTATTATCTCTTGCCACATTTCTGGTCAAGCATGCACACAATCAAAACAAAACACCAAAGTGTGTAGTTCATCTCTTTCATGGAGTCATAGGAAGAAGAACTGTAGGCATCAGAATGTAATAGAAAGAGTGTTAGACATGGCGTTTAAGAGCACAGCTTGAAGTGCTGGCTCCATCACTTAGCTGTGGACTGTAGGCAAGCCACTTGGCCACATCATCATTTGTAAATTGGAAATGATACCACTTGCTCTGACTGTTTTGAAGAGTGACCCTAAGGAATTAATCTGAATCATTTTCACTTCCTTCCCTACCTCTGGAACTGTGATGTCTGATGGCCCTGGTTTCAAGAATGAGAACTAATGCCATTGTAGTGAGTCATTTTAAAACTTGATGCCTTTCGGCCGGGCGTGGTGGCTCACGCCTGTAATCCCAGCACTTTGGGAAGCCAAGGCAGGTGGATCATATGAGGTCAGGAGTTTGAGACCGGCCTGGCCAACATGGTGAAACTGCATTTCTACTAAAAATACAAGAAATTAGCCGGACATGGTGGCGCACGTCTGCAGCCCCAGCTACTCGGGAGGCTCAGGCAGGATGGTCACTTGAGCCCTGGAGGTGGAGGCTGCAGTGAGCTGAGATTATGCCACTGCACTCCAGTCTGAGCGACAGAGTGAAACTCCATCTCAAAACAAAATAAACCTTGATGCCTTTGAAAATAAATACAAAATTATTTTAATATATTTCTAACAAGTAGGCACAACAGAGAATGGTAGCAGACAACCGCTGCTCCTAGAATCACATTAAGAAAGGCACAGAAGAGAGTGAGTGAGGCTGGTCAGTATCCGGGGGCCTCTTCATCATCACCTGTGCACTCTTAGGACTCTTTTCTCCTCTCTGCACTGGAGTCTGAACAGATATGCCTTTCTTTTTGGGAACCAAGTGCCTCTAAGAAAGCACATATTGACTCCCACAATGAGTCAAACAGTGGTTTTTTTGTTTGTAAAAGTAAAATCAGTCTTTGGGGTGTCGCTTACAGTTTAAAAACAAAAAAGAAAAGAAAGGAAAAAGAAAAGGTTTTCCTCTTGGGCTTTAGCCTTGGCCTGAAACTGAGCTGATGTATTGTTATTATCACTTGAGAGCACAACAGCCTGAGGTCTAGTCTTCTCCTTAATATAGCTGGGGATGCCATTCCATGTGGTTTTAGAAATCCTTTGTTATTACTGCTCACCTGCAGAGACAGGCCTCCTGGGAGTGGACCCCAGAGTCTGTAGCATCAGAATCTCTCCCTGAGCTGGGATTAAATGTCATTGAACAAAATACTTAACAGCCTTTGTCAGCTGTGAATTCAGGCATATTTTGGTACTCAAAGACTTAGAATTTCTGTGTTTGGTATAAAGTCAGATGATATGGTTTGGTAGTGTGTCCCACCCAAATCTCATCTCAAATTGTAATCTCCACGTGTCAAGGAAGGGGCCCTGGTGGAGGTGATTGGATTATGGAGTTGGCTTCCTCCCGTGCTGTTCTCGTGATTGTGAGTTTTCATGAGATCTGATGGTTTAAAAGTGTGTGGCAGTGCCCCCCTTGCTCGGTCACTGGTGTGCATGCGTGCTCTGTCTCTCTCCTCCCGTCCCCTGCTGCTTTGTGAAGAAGGTGCCTGCTTCCCCTATGCCTTCCACCATGATTGTAAGTTTCCTGAGGCCTCCTCAGCCATGTGGAACTGTGAGTCAATTAAACCTTTTTTTCTTTATAAATTACCCAGTCTCTGGTAGATTTTTATAGTGTGAAAATGGACTAATACATTAGAAAATATTATTCTTACATTTTTGTATATTTCTCTTGCTCTGTATTCATTTCCATTCCCCTCTGTATTAGTTTACTAGGAATTGCATAACAAAATACCATAAACAGGTGGCTTAAACAGCAGAAATGTATTTTCTCATAGTACTGCAGGCTGGGAAGTCCAAAATCAAGGTGCTGGTGGGGTTGGTTTCTCCTGAGGCTTCTCCTTGGCCAGTAGATGACTCCCTTCTTGCTGTGTTCTCATATCATCTTTCCCCTGTGCAGGCACATCCCTGGTATCTCTTCAAGTTTGTTTTTTTTGTTTTTTGTTTTGTTTTGTTTTGTTTTGTTTTGAGACAGTATCACTCTGTCACCCAGGTTGGAGTGTAGTGGCTTGATCTCGGCTCACTGCAAGCTCCACCTCCCGGGTTCACGCCATTCTCCAGCCTCAGCCTCCCAAGTAGCTGGTACTATAGGTGCCCGCCACCATGCCTGGCTAATTTTTTGTAGTTTTAGTAGAAATGGGGGTTCACCGTATTAGCCAGGATGGTCTCAATCTCCTGACATTGTGATCCGCCCACCTTGGCCTCCCAAAGTGCTGGGATTACAGGCGTGAGCCACCCCGCCCGGCCGCTCTTCAAGTTCTTAGAAGGA